AAGAACAAAAAACGACAGCAACTTGTCTGTTCCCCTTCCCCCATTCCCCAGCGCTGTTCCCATCCCCCCAATTCCCCAATAAAAATCTTTAATAAAAAAAAATATCAGAGCTAACACTGACAAAAGATGTGCAAGGTCTGTAGACTAGAAGCTACAAGACAGATAAAAGAAATAAGAGGTTCTAGATAAACGAGAAGACATGCCGTATTCATGGATTGGAAGACTCAATATTGCCAGGATGTCAGTTCTCTCAAACTGATCCATAGAGTCAACGTAATCCCAAATAAAACTCCAGTGGGCTTTTTTGGTAGAAGTTGGCAAGCTGATTCTAAAATTCATGAGGAAATGCAAAGGACATTGGATGGCCAAAAAAAGCCTTCATGAAAGAACAAAGTTGGAAAGTGTATAATAATTTACCTGATTTCAAAAATTATTATAAAGTAATGAAGACAGCTTGGAATATTTGCATAAAATAGGCACACAGGCCAATAGAACACAGAGTATGGGAATACACTCATACACATGTAGGTCACTGATTTTCAACACAGGTGCAAAGGTAATTCAATAGAGAAAGAATAATTTTTTTCAACAAACAGTCCTGGAACACTGGATATCTGTAGGCACAAAAAGTAAACTTAGAATCATATCTCACATCATATACCAAAACCAACTCAAAATGGATAATAGCTCCAAATGCAAAACCTAAACTTTAAAATCCTTGTGACTTTGAGTTAGACAAAGATTTCTTACATATGACACCAAAAGCATGACCCATAAAAGAAAAAAATGGATAAAATGGACTTCATCAAAATTAAAAACTCCTGCTCTTTGAAAAACTTTTAGGAGGATGAAGACAGTCCACAGAGACAGAGAAAATATTTACAAATCACACATCTGATAGAGGACTTGTATCCAGAATATACAAAGAACTCTCAAAAACTCAATAATAAGAAAACAACTCAATGAACAGCAGGTAAACGATTTGAACAGGGCACTTCTGTAAAGAAGAGAGACGGCAAATAAGCAGATGAAAAGATGCTCACCCCTGGAGTTCAAAGCAATCAGCACCACAGTGAGATGCACCGCTAACCACCTATCAGCGTGTCTACCGTGAAAATGCCGACCACGGCCAGCGCTGGTGCGGGTGTGAGCACACGCTGCTGGTGGGCAAGTTGTGCGAGCCCTTGTCAGTTTCTTTGAAGTTAAACATACAGCTACCATGTGACCCAGCCGTTCATTCCATTCCCAGAATTCACCCAAGAGAAATGAGAGCATTTGTCCAAACAAAGGTTGTACACAATGTCCGCTTCACTGCATTTGTAGTAACAGCCAGCACCTGGAAACAACCCCGATGCCCACAAACAGGCGGACGGACGTGACGACGAGCACTCAGCCCTGAACCGAGTAGCCTGATGAGCGCGTCCGCAGGCGCACTCAGTCGGACGCCGGGTGAAAGGAGCCAGACAAGAGCGCCTGCTGCGCGTCCACTGCCACGCGTGTCCGCGACGGCCGGCAGGTCAGTGCGCGCCTGGCGATGGGGGCCGGAGGGCAGGGAGGACGGGGGCAGCCGGGGTACTGACGGCGTTGATTGTGGCGATGCTTTCCCGGGTGGGTGGCTACAGAGGTCAACAACGTATCCAATTTTAAAATGTGGTTTATCGTGTGTCTGTCAACTACACCACAATAACGCTGCTTTTAAAACCCAAGGATGGATCAGGCCTAGCTGAAACGCCCCACCCCACATTCCCTACCCCCCTCGGGCCCACACGCAGGGACCCTAAGACACAGAGGGTCCGGGGGCAGGAAGGGACCCCGGTGGGCGGTGACCTCACCCCACTAACCAGCTTGAGGGGCCTCTGACATCGGAGCTGGAGACACGCACAGCAAGGGCCTCGCGCTGATCCGAGGGTCTCCAGGTCCCGTGCATCCGGCGTCAGTGCCGGGAAGGGATTCGCCCCACCGCTTGGGGCGGGGCTGGACCCGGGCCGAAGCCGGGCTCTGAGGCCTCACGGCCCCNTGCGTGTGCACTCCCTCCCGGTCAGCTGCCTCTGTCCTGTCCCTTTGTGCCACTCCAGCCCTGCCTGTGAGCTGGCTGCCCTGGCAGGCCTGGGGGGCAGTGTGGAGGCTGGGACAGCAAAGGGCCCACCTGGGCTCCGGGGAAGGGCAGGGCGGGAGAGCAGGCAGCCGGCACACACCTGGACGGGCGGCCACCAGAGAAAGGCCCGTCCCCGGTCTTTGTGGTCTCTCTGTGTAGGGAGGCCGCGTGTGGGCCTCACTGGGACATGTCAGTGGTCCGTCTGCTTTCATCCGGCCCTGTGTATGCTGCAGACTGCCGCTCACCCATCCCCAGAGAGCGGCACTTGACCCTGCCAGCAGCACAGCCGTCCTGATGGGGAAGCAACTAGGCAGCCAGATTAGCTGTGTCTAATCCCTGGGGCCATGACGCTGATAAATGGATGAGATCAACAGCCCAGAGCCCAGTCAGTCAGGAGGGCAGCTCCAGTGGGCAAGCATGCGGCCAGGGTGGCGTTAGGCTGTTTCTGGTGTTGCTGAGAGCACTGGCTGTGGTCCAAGTTGGACAGTGAGTCAGACTCTTGCAGGGCCCCCGGCCTGAGCCTGGCTGGTGGCCAGCGTCTGCTGTGGACACTCTGATGTCATCACCAGTGAGGCAGGTCACAGATCTCTGAGGACCGAGAGGACAGCTCACCACACGGCTTTACACGAGCACCTGGAACTGATGTATTCACAGTACACGCGGACCCCCGAGAATAGCAACCTGCAGGCCCTGTTCTCCACTCGTGAGGCAGAGTGCACACTGGGTCAGGGCACATGCTTGGTCAGGGGCACACGCTTAGTCAGGAGCACACGCCCGGCCGCCTGCACAAATCTTAATGTCAACCGCTTGGTGGATTTTTGACTTGTGCTGACCGGCACCCAGATGAGATTGAGCACACCAGCCCCAGGACCCCCTCGAGCCCCTTCCCCTCCCATCACTGTCCTCCGCCACTCACAGTGTTGCCTGGTCTTGAACTTCCCATAAACAGAACCGCACGGTGTGACCTCTGCATGTCTGGCCCCTCGCACTCCCCCATCCACACTGTGATTTTTGGTGGTAACCTCATAATTTGTTTAATGTAAATATTAAAAACATTCCATAGTGTGGGGGGTCCTCTTTGGCACCTCCTCTTTACCATACAGTGACCCGCCAATGGCTTCACTGCTCACCATATTAACCTCTCTGTGAAAGGTATCTGGCTGTTTAAGGCAGAAATAATAATGTATCGTGAGGCTCCTATACACGTGGACGTAAACTGCGTGACAACAGCACAGCCCCAACGGGTGCAGCACACAGCTGCCGGGCTGCTACTCAAGGTGAAGTGTCGAGTGTGACCTGGCAGATGACTGTGACAGGAAGTGGCAGCCAGACGCCACCCCCTAAAGCAGCCATTGAAATAACACAGCTAGGACTCATCTAAGGAGAGAAAGTGGGCTCATAAAGACACTCAGTCCAAAGGAAGGCAGGGAAAGAGGACGAGGGATCAGAGCAGAAGGACAAACGGGAGAGAAATAGAGGCAGACAGACTGGACCCTCACCACACAGCCATCGCGTCAAATGCAAGGCATTCAAGTGCCACCACTGGTGCACTATCCCCTAAACCACCAGCCCTACTCAGAGTCAATAGATTTTCACTAAAGTCCTTGTCTATTCTAGGGTCCCACCCTGCACTGAGCTGTCACTCCTTCAATCTGTAACAGTGAGTCAGGTGTTTATTGTCTTTTGTGACTTCTTCATTCCTGACGTGTACTGATCAGTCACTTTGTAAAAGGTCTTTCAATCCCAGTGTGTCTGAAGTGTTCTCACGACTGGAGAGTGTGCATTTTGGGCAAGAACACCCCAGAAGTGAGGCTGTGTCTTTCTCAGTCCATCGCATCAAGGGCTACATGATGTTTACCTGTCTTATTACCAACGATATTATCTTTGGTCACATACTAAGGTGGTTTCTGCTGGGTTGCTTCGCTGTAAAGTTATTACTTTTCCCTTTGTACTTAATAAAAACATTGAGGAAGATACTCAAGTGCTATGCAAATCCTGAAGGCACCTAGGTATGAAGACGCTTGAGATTAAAAGTAAAAGGCGGGATAAAGCTATCGCATGTTAGCCTGATCAAAAGGCAGCTGGAGGGCTGTGTTAGCGTCAGACAAAGCAGGGTTTCAGGCAAAGAGCCGGGGGTGATTTCATAATGAGGAAGTGGCCAATTAATCAAGAGGATACAAAATCTCAATATCAGGTTTCAAAATACACGAAGCAAAAAAGCGGTGGAACTGTAAAGAGAAACAGACAAACCTACACTCACAGTGAGAGTCCAACAGCCTTTTCTCAATAATTCATAGAGCAAGTGGACAGGAAATCAGTGATAATATAGGACAGTCGAGTCACACCATCAACAGAGGTTTACAGAAAATGTGACTGTTATGTAGAACATCCTAAGGTAGCTGTTAAAAAGTTATTGGAACTAACAAGGGCATTTAGCAAAGTTAAGATCAGAATACAAAAACCAATTTTGTTTCTATAGATTAATAATTAAAAATCAGAAATTGAAACAAATGCCATTTACAATAAAAAATATCAGGGGCCGGCCGAGTGGCGCGATGGTTAAGAACTGGCTTGGGACGCCAGAGGGCCCCGTTTCGGATCCCACATATGAGGGCCAGTGACACTGCCCTCCACAGCTAAGATGCTGAACAACAGCTCAACCTGGAGCTGGGCTGCCGTGAGTGTGAGTCG